TTTTTTGCGTTTTAGCATTTTCCGCTTACTAAATTCATTCATTTAGCCCTGTTTTGTGATGGTTCTCAGAGGCTCAGTACAGACGTAGAATTTTTGAACTTGTTCATTTACAGTGGGATACCTGGTCTGCACACTATCCTAATACAATAGGGGACAAAACGAAGATATCGCTACAACACACTCGGATCTACCTGAAAATTTCAGGCTCCAAGAGAGTCACATCTTGTTCAGGAATGTATGGAGGATTACTAATGACGGCATCAAACTTTGTGGAGCCAAGTAATGGCAGCACAGATCCTAAAGTGCAGAAGGAAAACAATAATAAATGAGTGAAATGAGAATAGCTTCAATATAACTGATAAATCTAGTACAACCCTTACACTTATTGAAGTATGGATGCTGTTAAACACGCCCCTAAGGCTGGCACACACTAGGGTACACATTGCAGGAACATGAAGAAGGGAGATTTTGCAGCAACAGTTTTCGTTGAGTGACAAGCCCCTTTTTGCGGAAAAGTTCTATTGTGGGGACAAACTTTTGTCTTCATAACATAATGCATGAAATTCAGCTGGTTTGAATTCACACGTCATGAAGCAGGGACAACATGACCTCAATTTTCAATGTCACATTTTGTGCACCGCTTTTGCTTATTGTCCCTACTACAACATAGAGATGAACAAATATCCGCTTTGTACAGCTTGCCGACCGTCCCTGCAACATGCGTCCTGTGCATACACGCGAAGAGGCTTGTCCTTCTGGTCCACGTCCACCTGACATTTCCCCTAGCATGTGCCGAACTTCAAACCATTTGCATGTTTTTGCGCTTGAGGCTAGTTTCATGTTTAACACCATTAAAGCCCTTTTCATGTTTCCCACCCTTGTAGCTAGTTGAAGCCGTTTTCATATTTTCCCGTACTAAAACCATTTGCATGTTTTCCTGCACGCTTGAAGCTGGTTTCCCGTTTCCCTGCACGCAAGCAGGTTCATGATTTTCTGTGCTAGCAACCATTTATAAATTTTCTTGCACTAAAGCAAATTGGATATTTTTCTGCGCAGAGGACATTTGCAGGTTTTTCCGTGCTTGAAATCGTTGTTCAAATTTTCTTGCATCAAAAGCCACTTGGACTTTTTCCTGCGTTTGACACCTGTGTTTTTTCCCCACACCAAAGCGGTGCTTGAAGCTTGTTGCATGTTTTTGCCTCCAAATCTGCTTGGTCCATTGTGTTGCTTATGCATAGCAAGGTTTGTCTCAAAAACAGCAATTAGAAAACTGCTCTGATAAACGCAAATGAAGTTACTTACGAACGTCAGCATGATGAAGTGTTATCCTGTCTCTTACATTGCAACTGATGATAAACAAAAATAAAAGAAAACAGATTCTATATTAAGACACATTAGTAGTCCCACTTTATCCTCACCAGGCCTGCATATTGTTTTGGCTTGTCACACAATCTCTCATTCCCAACAAGGAAAGACTGCGTGATGCATGACAAGCCGAAAGATCACCTCCATAGTCCAAGAAGCTTGCAAAATGCCAAAGGCTGATAATTGATGTGAAAGTTTGACGAAAAGTGACAAGCACCCAAAAAACAACCAGGCTTGTTAAGCTTGACAAGCACTCACACTTCTGCTGAACAAACATTTGAGAAGTACTTATTTTGTCTTCATATTGGGCCGGAGAAGTACTAATTTCCCATGTTAACTGAAGAAAATCAACCAGCCAAATTCTCCACCCAAACAAGACAAGGACATAGCCTGTGAACAGGCTTTCTAGTTGAAGATGGGATGACTGAGAAAGCGGGAAGAAAGAGGATAGAAGAGAGAGGAAGATATGCCCCAACCCCCAACCTATTCCCCCCTTGGCAACTTCCCTCTCAGCCAGTTCCTTCGTGGTCATTCCAACAGCAGTCAGACCCTTCCAGCAGGAGCCTGTTCATGGGCTACAAGGATTATGATGACTCCCCAGGCTGTCTTAATTTCCTGTTATACCCACTGGGTTTTCATAGATGACACTTCTAGGAGCAGTTGGCAAAAAAGGTCATTTTCAGCTATTACTCACTCACACCTGTTTACATTTTCTCTTGTGAGACTAACAGCTTCTTTGTTCTTGTCAATAGCTACACATGTTGTCTGGGGAAGAAAAGAATTAATAAAAGCTTTAACCAGTCAGTAATAATTATTTTTAGCCAGACAGTAATAATTTTTATTCGGTCAGTTATAATTATTAGCCAGTCAGTAATAATTATTAGCCAGTCAGTAATAATTATTAGCCAGCCAGTAATAATTATTAGCCAGCTAGTAATAATTAATTAGCCAGTCAGTAATAATTTTTATTCTGTCAGTTATAATTATTAGCCAGTCAGTAATAATTTTTATTCAGTCAGTTATAATTATTAGCCAGCCAGTAATAATTATTAGCCAGTCAGTAATAATTATTAGTCAGTCAGTCCATCAGCAGACTGTATCTTAGCCCAGGCTGGCATGTCGGTCTTCATACAACATATTAGGCTCAGGCTCCAGCTGTCGGTGTTTTGGTGCACACACAATCCTCTCCACGGCACACAAAAGCACCTGTGGTTGAAGACTGAGCCTTACAATGTATCTGAAGCCTAAAAGTTTGTGCAACACAAGCTCCTCATGTCCCCACTGGATTTTCTGATTCTTCCAAACTTCTACTTGTGCTTCTGTAACTTGACACAGAAAACATTCCTACTTCTTAAAGGGAGCATACACTGTATATTTGCCCGTGTCAGTCTACCTGAGGATATTCTGACAGTATTGACAAACAAATGGCTCCACTTCCACATCCTACTTCCAAGAAATTAAACTTGTCACCTTCATCAGCAAGGCCATGGTGACTAGCAACTAGATCTATCAGTCCCTGTGTGGAAAAAAAAAAATACAAAATCATTGTTGCAATGATTGAAACTTTGCCTTTTGGCAAACTAGCAATCTCACTGACTATCTATTTAAATCGATATCCTTGATCAACCCTTGATCGACACTCTATCAACATCTCAATTGTTACTTAGTCAACACTAGACTGACACTCAATTGACCTCTCGAGGGAAAGACCATGTAAAAAATGGGAAGGATCACTAAGTCACCCACTGGTAGTCTATTTTAAACAAACTAACTGGCACATGCCAAAAATTCACCATCAAGCCTCATTTGCAAGAAATTTTAACAAACCTCTATCACCTTTGTGTTGTTTACACAAGGGTTTTCTTTTCATAATCTGTGCTCCGTTGGGAATTTGTTCATGATAAAATTTGGTAGTCAGATGTCAACATGCATAAAGACTATTGTCAAATACTATTTAAACATTTTCTACACCATTACAGTCAACTCCCGATAACTCAAGGGAAATTGAAAAAGGTTCAAGTTGTCGGGAGTTGAGAACAAATGACTGGAAATAAGGAAAAAACGATGTTTAATGTTCTTCTATTTGTGCAACACTTTGTGAAAACCAGCGGAACCTGAACCGAACGGACATGTTTTGTGTAATATAAAAGAAAGGAAAAAGTTCACATGGCTGCTTCAAAATAAATTTAATGTTTTGGACTACAGTAAACTGTTTGTTTTGACTTGTCATCTATTGACAGACATGGTTCGAGTTATCAAGGGTAAAATTATATAGAAAATGACCTGAAGGGAAACAAAAATTGCTTCAAAGTTAGGAGGAGGTTCGAGTTATCAAACGTAAAATAACAGTAAATGTATGACTGAAACCCAGGGGAAATCGATTTCGGTTTGAGTTAGCACAAGATTCCAGTTAGCAAGGGTTTAAGTTATCAGGAGTTGACTGTAAATATAAATTTTCCAACCTTTTTCCTTACATACCTCAGTCTCTGGTCTTGGAATGAAGACAGGCGGCATCATTTTCAAGGTTAAATGCCTGAAATCCCATTCACCAATAATGTACTGTACAGGAACTCTAATTTAGATAACACCAGACAAAGTTGGAAGAGCCAAGAAGTGAGGCGTCATTTTTACTAGCCTGCCTAGCAAGCATTTCCATACAATGTATGAACAAAGAGCTTTTTCCGTATTTTGGCCACGCAAAGGAACCTCACTTACCCTACCACCTCCCTTTCCATCAATTTTTTGCTCTTGCCCCAATTTTCATGCAAAGAGCATGGGAACACTTGCTATGCAAGCTACATTTTTTAATATCCTGTAATGGACCAACATCCCTTCAGGGGGGGGGGGGGGGTGGGGTGGTTATGGATACATGAATTTTCTGGAACTGCAAATTGAACATGCAAAGCAAGCATAACATTCTAAAAAANTTGATCGATACCCTCAATCAACCGCCAATTGACCTTCGATCAACACTTGATCAATACTCGATCAACACATCATTTGACACTTGATTGACTTGATTCATTGAGTGTCGACCTAGTGACAAGTGAGTATTGATCGAGATGTTGATAGAGAGATTGATTGAGTGTTGATTGAAGATTGATCGAGGGTAGCGATCGACACTGACAGTGGATGCCTTAAGTAAACATGATCTGAATACTTCCAATTGCTTATGCTATAGAAACCAGAGTAACATGGCCTATTGGCAGACAAAACCCCAAAATATAATAATAAAATATCATATCTTGCTAACATTGATAATCATATATTTTTTTTTATATATTGTGGTTTGATCTATCATTTGATTGGTTATTGCAACATGAACAAGCATTTGCCACGTGTTTATACTTTTCAGATTTAAACAGTTGAGTAACGAAATATTTCATACAGTACCTTTGAAGTTTCTGAAGGCACATTTCATTGATTTGTCTTGCTTCTTCCCTTGTCAAATTCTGCTCATTTTCTTTCACATCACCATTCTGGTTGATCAATGAAATAGAGAGCAGATTGCTACATCACAGTTTGCACATTTTGAAAAGTTTACTAGCCTACATTTGTCAAGTTTGTTGTTTGTAATCCATGTCAATCTTCTCCATTCTTAACCATCCTTGTTTTGTTATGGTTTGTTATTATCTCTTCAGTGTTTCTCCATCTTAGTAAATTACTATTTTCAGATTTCCTCCAATTTAAGGTGATTTTGTACTTGATCAAAATAACTCAAAATACTGACTGAGCTCCTTGAGCTCGTGTTCCAAATTAAGCATCAAAATTTGCCTTATTGATTCTGACTCAACGCTGCAAATATAATGACCCTCATTATTTTTTAGGACAAAGCAGTGTTTTTCTCCTCCGGGGGAATTCCCATATAAAAAGAATGGAAGTGCTTGCTGGAAATTTTGAAAAGAATTCCTAAGGGGTGCCAAGATGTTTCATCCCTAAGAAAGTACTAATTCTAAAACAGCACAAAAAACTGACACTTTCATAATTTGTGATAGTAATTAAGACAATTTCTTGGAATATCTTGCTCCAGGAACCCTGCTTCTACCCATAAAGTTGATTGTCAAATATCTCCTGTAAAGAAAGCTCCCGCTGTGGACCTTCTGAGATTAAACACACTAAGAGGAACCAAAACAGCTTTTTTAGTCCCTAAGAGGTACGACAAGCACCCTCTTCTTGAGTGGATTCTATGGTTTCTATTGAAGAATGACTACCTTCAGCACCACCGTAGCTAGACTAAAATTCATACCAAGGCAGTAAAAAATGCTTCTTTTGTATAAATATTGATTTTTTTTCTTTATGCATAGCCTCCTACATTATCAAGGCAAGTGTCTTAGTTCGCCTGTTACTAGCTATGGCCAAGTTGTTCAGGGGATTGGTCCGGGTCAGTTAATCTTGTACCCAGACCTCACTCTGATTGACACTGAAAAGTGGGAGATCTGGGCATTAGATTGTAGGTTGCTACATGTGCTTTTGGTTAGTTCATACATGAGATCTATATTGACTCTTACAAAGGTGGGCTCCTTAAGGAGGGGGGAAGGGGAAAGTTCCATTTATTACCTGACCCCTCCACCCACTTAGTCATGGATAAGTTTTTGAGATGTACAAGACTAGCAGGAATCTTGTGTTTTGTTTTCTTTCAAAGGAGCCAACAAGAGAATGGAGGGATAGTAAAGCTTTCAGAGGGATCAAGCCAAAACTTGGCAGGTATATTTTGAAAGTTGCAGGTTGCAGATTGAAACAACCTGTTTATTCAAGTTGAAATCCAATAAAACCTGAATATAAAGCCTAACCACAAGCAACCTATGCTGGTTTAGGCCAACCAAGAGTGCTATTATATTCTGGACAGTGTAAAATGCAGACTGCAGACTGCAGAGCGGGGGTAAAATGCACATGCAGATAGCAGACCGGGGGTAAAATGCAGACTGCAGACCACAGACCGGGGGTAAAGTGCACATGCAGTCCACAGACCGGGGGTAAAATGCACATGCAGATAGCAGACCAGGGGTAAAATGCAGACTGCAGGCCACAGACTGGGGGTAAAATGCACATGCAGACTGCACACCAGGGGTAAAATGCAGACTGCAGGCCACAGACCAGGGGTAAAATGCACACGCAACCTGCAGACTTCAGACTTTTTAACTGAATCATGTTACCATTTCCATCATTGAGAGCTAACCATAACAGGCTAACCGGAGCATTAGGCTAACCCGAGTGATATTCAGCCTAACTGTAGTGATATTCAGTCTAACCGGTGTGATATTTTGGCTAACTGGAATGCAGACTTTTACTGCATTTAGCCTGAATAACCCTGTTTATGGTTACAGAAACTTGATAATGGACATAATGGAAGTAACACGATATATACTTAAGAAGTCTGTAGTCTGCAGTCTGCATTTTACTGTCGGACTGTATTTTACTCCTAGTCTGCAGTCTGGAGTCTGCAATCTGCATTTTTACCCCCAGTCTGCAGCCTGGAATGTGCAGTCTGCAGTCATCATCTCTATTTGTCTGCAGTCTGCGTTTTACACTAACTGATTATATTCAGGCTAACCGAAGTGAGTAGACTCACTATTTTTCAACCTGCAACCTGCAAAACATACAGTTGTACCCTCCCACAACAAATCAGCCTGTTAGGAGAGACTGCTTCATCCCAAAGAAAGGAAGGATTATATCCCTGGGGGAAAAAATCCCCCACAGGGTACCCACACCTCAATCAATATTCCTTCCATTTTAAACATGTACATGACACATACATACCCTCACTCTGTCTCTGCCAAGAACATGATATAGGATGATATTCACCGATAGTTCCGCTTCGGGTACACTCTCTTCCTTTAGACGTTGTACCCACGTGGTTGTGATGAGTTTGAGATTCTGCGAGTCTAGATTCTTGGCATTGGCTCTAGAACGTTGAAAATGCACATAAAAGCTACATTTTTGTACCCTGGTGTAGCCCTTTACCAGTCCAGTACGATGGTGGCTCAACATTGCAGCTAGTGCTGGTCTAAAAGACATCATTTCGCTGACGGGCTTTCATCGGAACGCGCGAAAAATTTGAATTGATGTCTTCGGCCGGAAGATGGTCCTCACTTGATCATAAACGAAAACCAATAAGTTTAAGCGTGTTGACAGTTGATTAAAGCTTAGCTTAAGGTAAATAAGCCAAGTTAATTAGTCGGTTCTGTGGTTTTTACGCTTGTTTCTTCGCGGAGAACGAAGGAGTTTTTCTCAAGAGGGCCGCCATATTGGATTTACATTCGTTCCCAGGCTGCTCAAGCTACAGTAGCGAGTACGCAACAAGGAATCAACAAGGTCAAGTTGATGCTGAGCTCTCCTTTGAACAGGAAAATATTTTTTTGGACGCTGAAACACTTTCTAAAATCTACACACCATTGGTTAAAGAAGTGTTGAGGTTTTTGACAGCTGTCATTTGATGACTTTCAGTTTCGAAGCAATGTTTGCAATGCTATGAAACTCGAAAGCAGATTGCGTTGTGCTTGTACAACATGGCTGAAACTACATGTGGTTCTCTAATTATGATGTTTCTTATTTCTTTCCTGTGTCTGATCGCGACGTTAAAAACAGGTGAGTGTTAAAATAAGTGCCTGGAATTTCTTTGAAATGGGTATTTTCACTATTTGTAAGACTGACAGACTTGCAATTTTGTTAAATGAAAGCGTCTTCAAATTACAGGTACAGTTACGGTCAGGTGTTTCTTTGAAATTTGGCAGCTGTTTTGCTCCAAAACAGAACGAAAATAGCTTAATTTCAAACATTTTTAGTCCACAGGAGGTGCGTGGGTCAGCAAGGTACTGAAAATATGTGAAATCTTCTGTTTTGCATGAGTTGTTGAAACGATCTTTTTATTTTAATTTGCTATATCAGCAAATAGTTGTCAGTTTCGTTTTAAAATATTAATATGAAAAAATTATGGAATTATTGTGGCGATTTTTGGGTTTCTGGGTTGATTCGTTGTAACCAGATCCGATCGAAAAGGTCATTATTTTTTCATTTTTGGTTATGATGCAAAATTGTTACTGAAAAAATTGAAATTTTACAGGATCTTCTTTAGAATTATACCTAATCGTCGTACCTTTTTGGTAAGCTCAACTGGTATATCAGGTGCGTTTGGCTGAGCCATGGTTCGTGTTTTGTTGAGACATAATACATACACACATGGAAAGACCAAATTAGCTTGTTCTGCTGAAGCTCACTAAAAGAGTATGATTTGATGTTAACCATACCCAAATTTGGCCAAATGTTTGGCAATACTAGGACAGTGACTTGATATTTAGGATCATGTGTGCAAAAAGGCATCCACAGCCAAGCTCAAGTGTTGATCAATAGCCTCGATCGATACTCCATTGACACCTCAGTTGACCCTCAATCAACATTCCATGGACATCACGGTTGACAGTCGGTTGACAGTCAACTAATCCCAGATGCCTTCAGTACGCATGATCCAATATTTATGTCTGATTGTTCCTTTTTGGTATGCTTTGGTAGCATATCTTTTCGGTGAGTTTGGTTGAGTTATGGTATTTAGGCAAGACATAGTTGAGCCAGAACAATCATGGCAAGACCAATTGAGCCTGATATACTGTTGAAGCATACTTAAAAAGCTACAATTAGGTATTTACAGCACCCAAATTTGGCTGGCCATGATGCTGTAAACATATCAGGTCAGTGACTTGATATCGCAGCCAAGAATATCAGATCAGTACACACAGCTTGTGATTGGCTAATATTGCAAGTGCAGGAAAACAGCATGGTAAACAAGGCTTCTGATTTGCTATTTTGAATTTGGGCATGGCAATCAGTGAGTGTGCAATACTTTATCGCACCAACCATGAGGCATCACTGAACTTCCTTTCTCTACAGTTTCAGTGCATGGACTGCCTTCATCTACAATCAGCCAAGACAATGGAAACAACATCCAGCTTCCACTTAGGCAAAACCTGAGCAAATTCCAAAATGACTCGAGACTACATATTAACATCACAAGCAATGAACTAAGCACAGAAGCAATCCACACGTCAACACACTTCGTCAAAACACCATCAACAAATCTGCCTGGGACGCATACCACTGCCAATATGCTGGCTGGATTAGAAAGCAACAGCACAAATTTTTCAAATGTTGCAACAACTGTAAGGAATTATTTATTGGGTGATGAGAAGACCACTCTTCCTATTTTAACAGAGAACTATACAACTGTTTCGCCATCACCAAGCATTGTTATGCACAAGCATCACTTTAATATGAAAATACTGGACTATATTTTTATACCTGTAGGATGCTTACTGGCAATTGTGGTTTCATATTGCATGGTGAGTCCATCTAAACTTTACTTGAATAGAAAAAAAACCTTGCATATTCTAATGCATTTTGGCTTTTTCCTATGTTTTTCACTCAACAAATTGCATTGTGCAAGTAAATATGTGAAAGATCATATATTTGAACTGTGGAGAAATATATGAAGGAGGGGGGTGAATAGGTTTTCAGATTGATGGATTTGGCCTTAGAAAGCGCACAGATTGTTGATTTTTGCGGTAAATTGAGTGGATTCGCGGATTCTGAAAACAGTGGATTGTGGATCAGCTGTGAATTTTGGTGCAGATTCCTGATTGTGCCTGTCTTGATGTTCAGATCTTGATCCTACATGAAATTTGGATCATGGATCTTTCTTTCAGCCTTGGTTGTTATGCTAATGAGTTCATCCAAATTATTTCTTTTTTCAAACGAAGCTCATTGAAACTCAGGTGTAAGACTGTTATAATTGGAATTGTACTGTGTCATCAACTCAAGCATGTAGCCTTCTTTACTAATTTTGTGCAAAATTAACAATGACATTCACATTTACCAAGTTGCCTTTGAACTTTTACACTTCTGTTTCCGGATGTGGTTATGGTTTCAGATTTGAACAAAAATATTGGGGGAATGACGGATTTGGTGAAAAAAAGGCATGGATCGGCAGATTTGCACACCCCTATTCACCCCCCTTGGTTAGGCTTTCATGCGAAAGTTTGTACACAAAACATTGGCTACAGTGTNCCCCCCCCCCCCCCTCATGAAGACATCAAAGATCATAGCAGTTTTATTACACAACTTACGCAGCTGTGAAATTAAAGCCTGAAAAAAATTCAGGCTTGAATGGGATTCAAACCTGTGACCTTTGCGATACCAGTGCAGTGCTCTACCAAGCCAACCAAGCCAACTGGGAGCTGGTCACATTGTGAATTTTTTGTCAGGCTTAAAGTTCACAGCTGCTTAACTTGTGTGTATAACTGCAATGATCATTAATGTCTTCATAAATTGCACTGTGTTGCATTTTCCACAGCAGAGCAAAGATGTTAAAATCTGCAACTGAGTCATTTTAGACCTAGATACAGATAGAAATACACAAAAACAGAACCTTGCGACTCATCACAAAGGATACTTAGAATTTTCAAGAAGAGATCTAAAGTTTCTGAGACCACAGTTCATTATAAATACCTTGAGCATTATCTCTGAGGTATCAAACTGTAACATAAGTCAGAAATAATAATGTAGTCTGAATTCCAGGTTCGCCAGGTGCAGAAAATGAGGAGAAAGCGAAGACTTGAACGAGAGCTGTTACATCAGTATTCATATCCAAACAGCGAGGCAGACGACATGGAAGAACAGAATATTGGAGATTTAGAAAGCATTGTTAATACTCAATTTGTTGCCTTCAGTGATCGTTCTGACAAGAGTCTTTATGAAGATTCCCCAGAGGTAAGTTCTGCCTCAAAAAGCTAATAACAGGCTATATTCTTATTCTCTGTATTGGACTGGCACTAGCTTGCAGTTGAGGCTCATGCGGGGGTATATCATTAGACATTTGAAAAGACTGTTCACCTTAACCTCAGTTGCAAGCTAGTCCCAGTTCAATACCAAGAATTTGAACATGGCATACTGAAAGGCCTTTATCATCAGACATCTTTCTTCACATGCAAGAATCATTCCCCACTCAAGAGATAAAAGCAAACCCCTTAGTGATGATATATTTCTTCTGAGATTTAGGGAATTGCCTATGTAGACATTACCTTGTGCTGGAACAGAAACCAGAGTGATGTGAAAGAATGGCAGAAACTGAGCCTAGCTGCATTATATCGAACTGTATTCAATGAGAGTGTGATTTGTATCAAACTTACATTGAATTAAGCCCAATTCTTAGATCCAAGGTTGCTTGCTCTCACTCCCTCAAACGAGCAATTTTGAAGTGTTTGAGAATTCATCTTTCACTATGTCCCAACAGTTTGACAAAACACAGTGCTGGATCTAGTAAAGAGACTCAGAGCACATAGGTTCCCTCCTTGTGGACACCAATTTTAGACCCTGAAGGAACTGAAATATTTTGGCCTTTTTAACAGAAATTTAAGGCAAAAACTGTCTCAGACCCCAGCTTATAAGGATATTAGGCCTGAATCCTATCCTATCCTATCCTATCCTATCCCATATGTTGAATCAAAAAGTCAAGGCTGTCTGACTAGAGGTTTACAAACAAATTTTTGCTTCAAACTGTAGGTAAACCTGGCATTTGGTGAAAGCTCCAAGCTAGTTGTTCAAGAACCTGGCCCCCCTTCTCCAGAGGAAGAGCTTCAAGTTGCCACAACTTTTAACAGCTGATACAGGGGGGAGTTGACATAGGTAACAGTCGTGTGAATTTTCAACCTGACGCTAACATGTGACTAATTGCTAAGCAGGGCTCCAAAGAAGTGCTGTTAGGACAATATTATTAGATTTTTCTCCTGGGCAAGTAACTTTTCATTCAGGTAGATCATCTACCAACTACACGTAAATCATCAAAAGAGCAAACCAAGACTTGCCCAGGGGAAGCAGAATTTGAGAGCAACTTGTCCCTAGGGCAAAGTAGAATTCAAGTACTTTTCAAGCCCTGTTAAGGAGCTTTTCATCAACCAAATGAGTCAATAGTGAAGGACAAAAAAAATTATAAGAGAAATCATTAAATAATAAAACTACAAGTTCATGCTAATCATGGAGTAATTCAGTCCTGCTTTGAATGATTGGGCCCAGGTGACAAAACAGGTTAAAAGCTGTATAACATGTTTCTTGATCATTTGAGAACAAATAATTTAGGGGAATTATTTCCAAAGATGGAATGCAATAGATTTGTTTGTTCTTACAACATATTTATATCAATGATAGGCATTTCCTTGTGTACTAGATGAAATGCTCTCAGTTCTAAGTTTGTTATAAATCTTGGGATGCACAATTTTGAAAGATATTCTCCAGTTTTAAGGCAGTGTAAACTGTGTAAACTGGATATGGGTAAAAGGGAATATTCGAATTTTATAAATAATGATTAAAAAAAATTTCCCATTATGTTGGGAATTCTGACATTACTAACAGCCACTTTGGAGCTTCAAAAAACGATCTTTGTGCATAGGTACTTGTTATTATTTAAAATAGATTTCTGATACAGACATGTATTTGTTGTTTTATATTTACTGTATCCGTGAGTTCTGAGAGATAAGGATAACTACTTATTTAAAGTTACGTTGTGATATATTTTTTGGCAATTTATTGCACACTAAGAAATATTGTTAATCTGAAAGGTGATATGAATTATGGGTAGCTTGTGTGAACAGTCTTCCCTACTCTTTGCCATGATTCCGTGTTTCTTCTTATTTCTTAAATTTCATTTTTCTATCCTATTAAACTACATGTAGTGTAAGAGAAGGACAATTATTTTGGTGAGGGGAGGGGGGAAAGGGGGGTGAGGTCTGGGCAGTTTAAAAAAAAAAATTCCTGCACTGCCAAAACGGTTGGAAACAAAAAATGCAAGGGAAGCCACACGGAAAAAAAAATGTTGAGTAGGCACTTTCTGCTACCAAGGTCCTGTGTTTGACTTTTTAAAATAATTCTTGCACATTCAAGCTATTGCCCACCAAAACAAATCATGCACAATCTAAAGGTGAGGAAAAAATTCATGCCCCAGAAAATTGCCCAAACTCACCCCACCCCACCCCTCAAAAAATAATGGTCCGTTCCTAAAATTAAGGTTTTTGTATGATCTGTAATGTTGCGTGTTACAAAATGACTAAATATTTAATGTACAGTATTTTGCAGAAGATCGACACTGTAAAAGTACTTACACGTTTTTAATCAGTGATGTAGATAAATACATTTATTGAAAGAGCCATTTCAACTGTAAAATTATTGTTTTGAAACAATGCAATTTGTGTTAAAAATAATAAACTACTTTTAAAACTTGAAATGCTCTCACGACTTTAGTTAATTGTTGTATGAATAATCATTGTCCAGAGAATAGCTTTGACATCTCTTATTGGATTTTAGCCCAAGGGCAGAGACGAGCCCACTTCTTCCTTCCTGTCACACTTCGTGACAGGAAGGAAAATGAAACTTCTGCTTGCAGGATAATTACACCATTGTCCTCGAGCGCCTGTTGATATAGCTTTCTTTTTTCAGGCTATTTCACTCATCTTTGCTTCCAACCCTTGCCTCCCTTGTCAACGGCAAGGGAGGCAAAGGAGAGAGAGCCTGGGATGGAGGTTGCTTTGCTTCAGTGGCGAATTCAAAGTAAAGTGATCACGTGATTTTGATTTTGACGATCACATCCAATCATATCGCCATATTCGTGGTCACATTTGATCACGTGAGGTTTTATCGATCGCATGATTGTGGAAATTCGATAACCGGTGATTATCTGGGCATGACCCGGTCTGAACAAACAAATGATGTTAAAAGGACGTCTAGGATCATTAGTAATGCGACCGCAACCCTTTCACAATTTTGTGGTCAATCTTTGATTGACAAACGTTAGTGTGTGGAAGCACAGCGCTCGCACGCAGGGATCTGCTTTCGCGCGCCATTGTTCTGACGCGTACCTTTGCAGTTTGCTCTGTGCAAAGTTTTTTGTTAGTTACTCCCACATCACCCTCCCTTTCATTCCCTCAGTCCTTTGTCGCCCAGTTTTCCTTTTTCTCTCTCCGCCGGCTTCGGCGAGTGTGACTACACAAACGGCCTCGTTGTGGCATTGGTTTCCATAGCAACAGTCGACACAGTCGGGTTCCCTCCTTTGCTTTGGGGCCACTCCACTGCTGCCTTGTCCCTTTGCATTCCAGCAACGCCCCAACTCCGTTAAACAACCTGCGGTTAGAGCGGTGAATTTTGACGAAACTGTATGCGATTGGATTCCAGTATCTCGAACTCTCAAGACGGGAAACGAAAACACTTAGAGACAGCAGGGACCGGTTTCCGAAAGAGTCCATCCAAAGGAAAATGAATGAGTTCATGATAGTGAAGTTCAACCGTACTACAGACACTTCAATGTACGTTAATACATTTTCTCCCAATTCCGCCTTAATGTTCTAATTCTTAGGTCCTTTTGTTCCATAATGAATTGATCACCTTGTTATAACTAGGGCTATATAAGAAATAAATTATTATCAAAATTATTAAGCCCTGCTCTGAAGTAAATCTCTTTACCCATAGGACACCGCACTGTATGCTGTTGACATTATAAGTTATTACTACCAGATTCACCTCTGCGAAATACTGCAATGCATCCATGGATATCTCCATGTGATCAAGGTTAGAAAGTGGGCCGTGGTCCTATCTTAAACACGTTGGTCTTAAGCTAGTTTTCAGATCTGGCATGTTACGTGCAGATCAATTCAAAACTCCAAATTCCTCTCCGAATTCATCCATTTCAATTTTTGAAGTCTTGATTTTCACCCCCAGGAAAAAATTGTCTTCAAATGCCCCACATTTGGGTCATATTGGGTGATCAAAAACCCCTAGGTCGAGCGGTTTTCAATCGAGTGGTGAAAGTAACCAGGCAGTCACTTTGGTTTTGGTTTTACTACGGTTTGAAATTGACTAAGTTGTCTAACTGGTAAGCAATTGGTTTGATTTTGGCTTCACGACACTCAACTGAAAACCATTCTATCCCCATGGACACAATAAGAGGTGAGTCATGTGATGGTAGAAGTTTTAATAAAATTACTTGGACGACTGCGTGCTAAAGAACAAAAAAATCACCTTCAGCTAGGACGAAGGGCTGACACTCGCAAGAAACTAATGACTTCGCCATTCTCAAAAACCCGTGCGCTGAACTTCTACTGTGTCCAAAGTGCTGCTTAATTTTGCATTGCTACTGTGTAAGAGGAATGATAGAACTAGCTTGTTATATGTCCGTATCGGAGAAATATATATATATATCTTTTTTGCAGGGTTTTTGGAACTTGCAAAAAAAAAAACGAGACCAATATTTCCCCTATAAGGACCGATCGAACAGGCCAGTTCATTAAAGTATTGATTATAAAAGTCCTTGTAAATCTGCTAATAAATTGATCATGA